GTGTGTTTTAATTCATATATTGATTAACTATGATTCTTACTATTAATACCATTTAATACTTATATAGTATTAATAAAATTAAATATATTAATTGATGTGGAGTGGATCCACCATGAGGAAGGGGGTTAACTGGTAACCCCTAGGTTAGATTTGCTGAAGGCAGTTCAGAAACTTCAGCTGGTTCAGCAGCTAGGTTGCTTATGGGGACAAGATGGTGAGAATATAACACCAATCCTGTCCTGACTTCACCGGCTGCCAGTTAGTTTCCAGGCCCAATTCAATTTGCTGGCTTTGACATATAAAGCCTTAAATGGCTCAGGATTGCAATTCCTCAAGGATTGCCTGTCCCCATGTGAACTGACCCAGACCCTGCAATCATCATCTGAGGTCCTTCTTTTTGTGCCTCCTCCATGAGAAGTCCAGAGGGCAACACAAGAATAGGCCTTATCTGCAGTGGCCCCATGTGGAATGTTCTCCCCAGAGAGGCATTGCCTGGGGATTACATATCTTTAGGCGCCAGGCAAACGTATTCCTCTTTTCCTAGGCCTTTGGCTAATTAAACAATCTATGGCCTTTTGATTGCCTGGATGGAGGATATGTGTATAAAAATCTCTGATTTAACACAACTGGGTTTAGTCTGCTGCACAAACATATGAGTCACATCCATGGCTCCACACATGTTTTGTCCTTTGTCCCATCTGCCTTGTGACCCCCCAGAGAGTTGTCCACAAGAGAAGGCCATCCCGGGGGTAAAAAGGTTCCCCATTCCTGACATAGATAATGATGTCTCCTTGTTTCAAGCATAGAATCATAGACTTGTAGAGTTGGAAGAGACCACAAGGCTCATCTAGTCCAACGCCCTGCCACGCAGGAATCTTTTGCCCAATGTGGAGCTCAAACCCACGACCCTGAAATTAAGAATCTACCGACTGAGCTATCCCAGCATCTATGTAATTATCTTTGTAATTATCAACATGGTTATTATGGTAGCCCTTCCTTGTGGCAACACAGTGGCCACATAGTGTGCAGGAACAGATTAGAAGGCAAGCTCTTTCGTGCCAATCTCTTAAAAGCCAATGAAGCGAAAGAGAGAGACTTCAGAGCTGAGGAACTGAGAGTTTATGCAAACCAACAAGACTAATTAAGACGGCGGCTTGCAGCACCATTGTGTTATAAGAAAGATACTGCTCCCTTTCCTATATGGGGTATCCAAGAGCCCATATAGAGTCCTTAAGTAGGTTCTCTATCGGCAGGAAAAAATAACAGAGGCCAAACAGAGAATACTGAGAAGCAAAGCAGCTAGTAAGCATGATCTTTATTAAACTGTTGCAACAAGGTCCCCCACTCCCCCCATGCAGGGTGGAAGGAGAGGAACCCAGAACAATGGTGTGCAAGGTCTTACATAGACTTTTTGAAATTCCCTTCCCTGTAGCTGAAGACTACCCCCCCAAAACATACATACATACATACATACATACATACATGGGGGGGGGCAGTCTACAGCAGAAAACCTGTCTGTCAGGATACCTGATAATGGTCAACCATTGCTCAACCTGGGCAGTCTGGCCATTCTTTTGTGATGGTAAATACTTTAGTTCCCAAATCTCTTACATAAATTGATAATTTGCTCAGCTTAACAGATACTTGGCAGACTGTATTTGCAAAGGGAGGTGTAATGCCCCTACAGTCCAAAGACAACTGGAAAGCTTTCCCCATTTCCTTCCTCCTTGCAGAGGAATATTTGAGGTCAGTTTGGGAGAGTCAAAATGGCTTCAGGATTGCTCTCCTGTACTGTTTCAGACACTATACTTATGCACATGTGTTTGCCTTGTACATTTATGAACATTTGTTATATATGTATATATAGGATTCCTAGAACAATTGCAAAGAACAATTGGCTGTGGAGTGCTCAGTAAGTACTGCAAGATGTTTCCTTTTCGCTCATTCTGCAGAGCAGTGGCTGAACAAATGGCTGGAATGGCTACTTGAACAGAATATTCTTTTCACCACTTTTCCCACATTCCTCATTAAGCTCCCTTGAATCACTCCTCGCCCTCTTTATGGGTTGTTAGTTAAAAAACACAACTCCTAGTGCTTCAGTTTATTACTTTTTGACAAGAAATGGTACCTATTTATTCTAAGTAAATGAGTCTCAATTAACTTCACTCAATCATCCCCAAATCCCAACTTGAGTGCTCTTGTGAAAGCACATACTGTTTATATGTCACACAGAGACACCAGTCAACACTCAAAAGCCCTATCAGCTCATTTGTTGAATGAGATCCTGCAACATCTGCAGCAGCCTTCTTTTGGACTACAGCTGCCATCACTCTTAGCCAACATGGCCAAAGATCAGGGATGATGGGAGTTGTAGTCCAAAACATCTGAAGGGCCCCAGGGTAGGGAAGTTGATCTATAGTACATCTTTTGCCATTGCTTGAGGTGGAGACCAAAGAGGGAATGGTTGCAAAAACTCAAATGTGTACATGGAACTGAGACACACATGCCAAGGATACTAAAATGGCAGGAAGAATAATCTAGGATAATTGAAATAACTGATTTTAAACGAAAATGATACTTTGTGGAGAAAATGAGTATTAGATAGACCAAAATGGGTGTTGGATATAGATCAAATGCATTTCCAGAGAAATACCACACTAAGTCCTGGTATCAATTTTGTTGCTGTTAAGCTTCCTCGGGAGCTCTGGGGGGGGGGGGGGTGAGTGACAAGTAGCAACTGACGACTTAGGACTTCCTGGCTCCTAGTGTTTACTTCAGATGGTTGTTAGTTTCATAAGCAAAGTGGTTCAGTCTTTGTTTCTCTATGTTCTTGTTTGTTTGTTTGTTTGTTTGGCAAATGTATAGCTTTTCAACAGTTGTTCTCAAAGAAGGTTATAATTAAAGAAAAATAAAGTATCAATACAATTATAGCAATAATAAATAGAGTATTAACAGAGGCACAGAGTAGGATAGAAATGTTATATATAAATTGCAATTATGCAAAAACCCAGGCAATTATGTTAATTTACTTTTATGGCTGACTAATACAAGAAGCGTAACCAGTGGGTTTTTTAAATCCATGGCAAAACAAATGGGCAAACATTCACACCATTATGAAGCTCATCCCACTATTAAAATGAATATTGTGTTTGTAAGTGATTATTGAAAAATACTACTGCAGATCTTCCCCTCTACATAATCAGGGACTAAATAAAGCTCCCTGCCCTACCCCCATTGTTGCTCTGAAAGTACAACATGCAAGCATGTGTGAAAATGTATTTAGCTAACTTTGGTATCCCATATTCACTAGGTTTTTGGTGCTTTGTTAGCCACAACCTTTCATTTTCAATAGTATTTAAGCAAAGCGCAGTCTTTGCCCAAGACTGAACTTTTCATCTCCTTTCTACAGCCATTAGAACCAAGCAATGTTCCTCTCTTTCAGCTTGATTCTGTGTGACACTAAGACCCGCCCTTTCTGCCAACCTGATGGGCTTAGTGCATTTTATTTTCATCCCAAGGGGTTTAGTTTCCATTTTTTATTTTTAATCAAAACCTTGAGCCCTTCTATAAATAAACAAACTTGCCTTCTCAGCATTTTAAAGTTGTTCTTCTCACAAAAATCTCTGTGCTGTGTGCAAAGACCTGGGGGGTTGCAAGTCACCAGGAGCAAGAAAAGGGATTGGAGAACAATTTCCCCTTCCAAATGAAACATTCAGACAGATGTAACATTTTCAGAAATCAGAGATTTCACTTCACTTCCTTTCCTCAAGCGAACCAGAAGGCAAAAGCAATTCCTTGACTCAACAAAGAAACATCTCACAGCAAATGCTGGCCAAGTTGTTTCTCCAATATCATCCTTGAGTTAAATTTCAAAATCTACAATATCTTTATTGGGACTTTAATTAATTCTCTGGAATTCTTAATCAGACAGGATGTTAATCCAAACAGAGAAAGTGAGGATAGAAAAATCTGGTTTGATGTTGACTATTCTCAGTTTAGTCATGGTCATAAGACAGAATGTGCAGCCTAATAGTGCAGGCTGTATGTGCCTACTGAGAAACATGCTTCATCAACACTTACCTGAGAGTAAGGCCCATAGGGTTGCATCCAGCAAAGCCATTCCACAAGTCAAACACCTTCTGTACTTACACCAGAACTTCCTCTTCTTCTTCTGCATATCCCTCACACCACAAACCTTCCCTGATAGTTCCCACAAACCTCCAGACCAGATCTGTTGGGTGGGTGTGCTTGTGTACATGATTGTGGGGTTTACAATGAGTAGAGGTGGGATGCAAAGTTCTGTTGCACATGTGGAAATTGTTCAGTTCTCACAATAACTTGGTTTCAACCTACTGATAGCAATATAACTTGCTACCAAGCAGACATGTATAAGATTGTTTTGTGAATTGTACTGGATTCTACTAGGTGTTACAATGATTTCAGATTGCCTATAGGACTGTTGTGGAAGAGAAAAGCATAATGGTTTAGCCCTTGTTTGGGGGGGAGCATAAGACCCATTAGTTATGAAAGAATGGTATAATTGGTTTGATTGTCTAGGAGGAAATGAACACAACTCATCTTTGTTAACAGGAATTCAAATTAGAGTTAGGAAAATCTTAGGCCACTCCTCTTCATCAACTCTCAATGTCCATGGTAGATAGTAATATGTATCAATGATTTCCATGAGTGAAAAACAGTGAGGCTACTTAAGTTTGACTCAGCCAGTTTATGCAGCCTATCTATGTGCAGGCATAGATACTTGACGAGTTCATACCATTGAACTAAGAACATACTCCTGAGCACCAGTACGCATGTAGCATTTCATTTCTTAACCATAGAATTGCAAAATCTCTCCCCACCCTCTGCATTCTGGAGCACTAATTTGAACTCCTAGTCTAACGTCAGTTAAGCGTTACTCCAGCAGTGTCATTAGATATGGTTAGAGCTACCCAGGATTCCCATTTAAACCAGGTTCTGAAACCATGCTTTGAAAACCGTTTTGCCCAACCTGGGGCTTGAAACCACAACTCTGAGATGAAGAGTTCCATGCTCTACTGACTGAGCTATCCAGGAGTGCTGTACCAGCCCTCAAAAATGTATAGGACTGCAAGTGAACTTTCTGGGAAATAGAGGAAGAGGGTGAAATTTCATCAAAGGAAGATTACTATTATTTCCATGAAGTGCTTCTCAAATGTGGGTCTCCAGCGAATGTTGGACTACAACTCCCATCATCCCTGACCACTGGTGCTGCTAGCCAAGGATGATGGGAGTTTTAGTCCAACAACATACTTGGAGGTCCAAGTTTGAGAAACACTGGAAACAGATCAAGGAGATGTAAGCTTTTTAAAACGGTAATGAGCCAATTGGGAGTGGAGATTAGGGGGATATTTACTTGTTGACATAAAAGAAAAAATCAATAATAGTGTACATGTTAGCATGAAATCTTTTCCATCCACACAGTGCATCGTTGGGATCTATCCCATGTCCCCCCTGACAGCATAAATCTTCCCCTGCTGCCCGCAGCATCAGTGATTAAATAAATAAAAAATCAGCTTCCTTATGAACAAGCAGTGCTCTGATCTCCTATTCATTTATTTGCAGGCCTCATTAATATAACATCACTGCAACAAACAGCTAACGGGGGTTGTGCGGGGAGGAGTGTCAGGCTGAATAATGGAGTTGCTCTGCTGAGATAACAATTAGGTTTGGAATGTACTATCAGCTAAGACAGAGACAAGGAGTGATCATGCCAGGCTGATGAACTAGCTCTGTGGATGTGCTGAGCCCCTGCTGGGCTCATCTACTGGGATGGAGCCAGCTACAAATATAACCATGCAACAAAAAGCATGGTTATTCGTATAGCTTTGAAAGGCCACAACTTTGCTACTCTCCCCTCCCCTCTTTTGTCAGATACGGTGCTATTATGTTCAAGATGGCTTTTATTACAGGACTTGATGGGCTCATTTTTCCCCACCTGTGATTAATTGATTTTATTTATCCTCTCTTTCCTCTCTTGCTTGCTGTTGCGAGACCTTGGAATATATTATAATATGCTCAAAACAAAATTCTAAAAATATCACACACACACACACACACACACACACACACACAACACCTGTTCTCATCCTTTTGCAGAGTATGGACTTGTGAATGTCAGTAGGATGGTGTCTGTGTTAATGGCAATGGCAGCTGTGTGTCAGTTATGTTTGTTTTGCTGAAGAGGTGCTGCTTGTTTATGTGGTCCTGGTACCCACATGTTGGAATATTACCCCCTTTTGTCTTTGCAGTCTAATTGTGCTGCAGAAATGGAGTTTCTGCTTAGTGGCTGTTTCTTGTATTGTATCAGTGCAACATTGTGACCTGCAAGGCTGTACTGGCCCATTTATCCAGTGCTATCCAGTTGTTTGTTTTGCACAGCAGACCACAGGATTGAGCTAAATTAATGATGATGGGAGGTAACTAAGAGGTAAAGGTAAAGGGACCCCTGACCATTAGGTCCAGTCGTGACCGACTCTGGGGTTGCGGCGCTCATCTCGCTTTATTGGCCAAGGGAGCCGGCGTACAGCTTCCAGGTCATGTGGCCAGCATGACTAAGTCGCTTCTGGCGAACCAGAGCAGCGCACAGAAATGCTGTTTACCTTCCCGCTGGACCTATTTATTTACTTGGACTTTGACGTGCTTTTGAACTGTTAGGTGGGGAGGAGCAGGGACCAAGCAACGGGAGCTCACCCCGTCGCGGGGATTTGAACCGCCGACCTTTTGATCGGCAAGTCCTAGGCTCTGTGGTTTAACCCACAGCACCACCCGTGTCCCAGCACCACCCGCGTCCCAACTAAGAGGTACAGGAGCATAATGGAGTCATGGGCAAAGGCTGCATATAGAAGGTTTCAGGTTCAATCCCTAGAATATCCAGCTAGAGCTGGGGGTGTCTCCTGTCTGAAACCCTGAAGAGCTGCTGCCCATTAGAGTGGAGAATGGTCTGACTTATAACACATGTGTGCCTATGTAGTCTTGCTTTTCAGCTCTTCTTCTGCACCTGTCCTATAGGAGAAATGTTTTTAAAAGAACTCCTGTTTCAGTTTCTGGGCAGGCAAATAAGGTTGTTTCTATTATCAGCGAAGCCTTGTGATGGGTAATTAATATTTTGGAGCTTGGATGACAGGATTTGAGGAGAACCATTGGAGGACGTTTCCTAATATATGTTCGTCCCCATAGATACTGCTCCTGACTGACACCTTCATAATGATAATATAATACTTTGCCTTGCGTGGCTTCTTTTATCCAGTGATTGTAAAGGGCTTTAAATATCAGAAGCAGCTGGAGCATTGTGACATGCTGGCAGAGTTGGGATTAGAACTCACAAGTAGCAAATTCCAGGAGTTGGAGGTTTGTCCTAGAAACACCCTCCTTCCTTTCCTCTTTGTTGCAACGATGAATGCAGTAAGGATTACTAAGCATCTTGTGTATTAACACACCAGCTAACTAGGGACTATGCATTAATAGAAAAAGGCTCTGCATATATATCCCTATCTGGATAGGGAATTGTATATGCAGCAGGGTGCTATTCATGTGATTTCCCAGCTCAATCTAGTATTCATAGCTACTGCACACAATCTGTTTTTCTTTTTCTTTTTTAAGCTAGGATCCCAGTGATCTGCTACCTGGGGACTGGATTCAATTCCGTTCTCTCCCCCTTACCCACCGATCATCAGTACAGCTGCAGCTTTTTAAAAGGGCTCTGTGTGCACATCTCTGACTGCTGCGCACATGCTTTGCTGGATCAGAGCTGAAAAGTGAAATATAGATGATAATTACAATGATCTGGCTGTAATTTGGTTGCTGATGCTAATAACACCCCTCCCCTCACCCAAAGCAAGCATTTCTATGACATATTTAATTAACATCTTCTGACACCACTGATCTTGTGCCTTTAGCAGCCTGACAAACAGAATTTTAGTTTTTTCCATCATTTATCTCTGTTCTAGGAAAAGTGTCGCCTGCTAAATTTCTGTGCGATAGGCCGCTGCTATACCAACTTCTGATGTGTGGGAAGAATTCCAGGAGCCAGAGGAAGCCAGTAAAGGCTTCCTCCTCAGAGCCAGTTCCAGTCCCTTCTCCACCCTCTCAGGCCTGTCCTGTTGGAAGGATTCCAGGAGGGAGAGGGAAAGAGGCAAAGGTTGTAAAGGGAAGGCTATACTCTTCCTCTTCTGTTACGACTGCCAATCTGCGTAAGCCAGCTGTGAAAGGGGGGGCTTAGGTAGGCCTTCCTCCATACTCCCCTTATGTTTGTTCTGAACCCCAAGGGAACAAAGCAAATACTTTTGTGGGGAGGCTAAGAGAATATCCCATTATCATGCAACTCCAAGATCGGTTGGTTTTCTCTGTCAAATCCCACTGATGCACACATGAATCCAAATGGATTAGCCACATGAAGGGGCAGAAAGGTGCTTTAAGAAAATAAAAATGTAGTCTATGAAAGGTATGCCTACACAAATTTAGGTTTCTCCTCAAAAGCAGTGCAGCATTTTGGACGGCAAGGGGCAAAGAAATGTTGGCAACATTTAATTCTTAAGGGCTCTTGACTCAAGTTGGGTTCTGATGGATTGGCTGGACAGAGCCACCTGTCAGATGGAAATGTGCTGTTCTCGCCTTTTAGAAGTTGGTAGGTGCAACTGTCAGGGTGTTAACTACTGCAGGAGTTGCTCAATTTCCCAGAAAACCAGCTTGTATATTGGGACTTAGAAGGAGCTACAATGGTCTTTTTGCCTCTAGGGAATGGAAGCTGAGCAAACTGTCAGTTTTTGAAGAGAGAAGCTGTGAGTAGGCCATAACCATGTCACAAAGATCACCTCGGAGCCTGCTGCTCTCCCACCCCATTTTACCAGTTGTCCTGTGGGAAGGATTTCAGAGAGAAAGAAGAGGCAAACACCACCTCAGAGCCTGCTTCAATTGGACTTTCCCCTTCCCAAACCACAGAGCCATTCTACAACCATCTGCCCAGTGAGAAGGATCCTGATGAATTTTTATATGTTGATCTTACTAATTGTGGCTTTTAGAGCTGTAGTTTGGTATTCCTTGGAAGAATTTGTATCCTGAAAGGTAAAATATAAATAAATGAAATAAATTAATTATTATAGGTAGAGGATTATAGTAAAAGGATAGCAACTGTGTGGCTGGTTTTATGTCAACATGGTAATGCCAAAAGAAACCTGAAGTTGGCCCCAACTCATATAATTTACCTTGAATCTACATACAAATAGGATCTAAAAGCTACTCTTTTTCTTTATAAAAAAAATGCTTCTAGTTTGGATACCAGAGACATGGCAGCTGGCTGGACTTTGGCCTGGTCTTGTTACGTCTAGAGAGGTCTATATAACTGGACCCTTTAAGTATTTGCTGCCTTCTGTGATTATTACTGAATTTCCCCAGCTGTAATTAATTGAATGCATCTGTTCTAACCCTGCGGCTGCATTGTGACACAGTTCCTTCAAAACTGTTCAATTAGCGGCCACTAAAATCTAGGTCGAATGGGAAGTCTGGTTCGGGTATTTTCCAGGTCAAAACATTTGGAAAACAGAAAAGCCACACTGCGTTGTTTGACATTGTAGTAAGGTTTTGTTGACTCAAGTCAGATAAGAAACGTTCCCAGTATCTAAATATGTGTGTGTGTGTGTAAGCTTTGGATTTTTATGGGAGGGGCAAAGCACCTCAGTTTGTGATGCAAATGCTGCAGCAAATGCATTTTTAAAATAACATACGGATGTAAGGGAAATAACTGTCAAGAATCGTGAACCATAGTGTACGGGTGACTTGTAAACATTAGCAGCAGCAGGCCTTCAACGGTGCTTAGTATAATATAATGCAATTTGATTTTTGTATCGTGTCCTTTGTAGACACATGACGCTTTGCAAAGGAAAATGATACAAGACACACTGCAGAGTGCTAGTTACAGAAAGCGGGAGTGTAACAGACGCTACACAGTGAAGAGATTAAAGCTTTTAGTCCCAGGGCTGAATGCAGAGGGGAGGATGGGAACTAAAGCAGAGGCAAGAGAAAGAAAGGAGTGTTTTTTA